TGCCCTCTCTCCCGAGGACGAGTACCGACGGTGGGTATCCTGTCCGGTCGTTGCGCCTGTTCCTGATCGAAAATAGTATGGGGGCTAACTTGGTGTCCCAGGTGTTGTGGTTGCCATTGGCGAGTAGCGCGCGTAGACCTTTTTTTAATTCCTGGTTACGGCGTTCGACTGGGTTGGCCCTCGGGTGATATACCGGAGTTGTCCAGCCCTCGGCTCCCCACTGTTCGATCGCTTTACGCATATCGTTTGCTACGAACTGTGGGCCGTTGTCGCTTAAGCACACACGGGGGTATCCGAAACGTGAAAAGAATTCTCGTTCGAGCGTTTCGGTTATTGTTTTTGTAGTGGCTGTTCCGAGGGGGTATGCCTCGGTCCACCTACTAAACAAATCCGTGGCGACCAGTATATATTGTTTTCCCCTACTCGTGCGCGGGTAGGGGCCCATGAGGTCTATGCTTACCACCTCCCAGGGGTGGCGGGGTACTCTGGTGGTCGCGGGGCCGTCTGCGCGCGTGTTTAGTGGTTTGGTGCACGCGCATATGTGACACGACTTGACGTACAGTCGGATGTCGTTTTTTTGTCCTTTCCAAAAAAAACGTTGTTTGACCGCCCTGTACGTTTCTTTCCAGCCCGGGTGGTTTGCGAGTACGTGATCGTGGTAAGTCCAGATCACGTTCTGCGTGTTGGTTTTTGGGATGACTACGGGTGTGTGTTCGCCCAAATTTATCCGGAGAAGACCGTCGGTAAAAATGAATTGTTTGTTTTTTTCCGAGGTACCTCCGGTATTGCGCGCTGGGTCGTCCGTTGTCATGTTGTGCGTTATGTCTCGTGTGTTGGGGTCATTGGCCTGCCATGTCACGAGCATAGCGTGTGTGATTGTGGGGTGACTTGTGGTGATAGCCGGGTTCGTCGTGGCGAACAGATTGTCGGCCGGTGAACTAGTAGTGGTGAAGAGTGGTGAGGTGGGTACTCCTACTAGTCGTTCCTCGAGGTGTTCCTCGTCTACCGGGGGCCCGGTAGTCGGGTTGCGGGAGAGCATGTCCAGCGCTTCGTTCTGTACGCCGGGCACATGCGTGGTTTTGTAATCCAGGTTGGCCAGCTGTAGTGCCCACCTGGTTAATTTTGAGTTTGTGTTTTTGGGTCGGTGGAGCCACGTGAGTGCTGAGTTGTCTGTGTATAGGTCAAACCGGCGTGCCTCCAGGTATGGTCTAAACTTATCGGTTGCCCAGATTATCGCGAGGCACTCGCGTTCTACCGCGGCGTACCTTGTTTGCGTATCACTAAACTTTTTGCTTGCGTAGGCGATTATCCGCCTTTCGTCCGGGCTGTCACCCCGTTGGAAAAGGACGGCACCCGCTCCTATCTCGCTAGCATCGGTCTGTAGGCAAAACGGTTTTCCGTAATCCGGCGTCGATAGTTTAGGCGAATCGTACAGGGCGCGTTTTATTCTGGTAAATGCCGCCTGTTCGGTTTCGGTCCACGACCATTTGGTTCCCTGTTTGAGTCTATTCGTTAGGGGCGCTATGGTGTCCGCGTAGTTGTCGACAAACTGGCTGTACCAGTTGCAAACTCCCAGGAATTTCCGTAGGTCCTTCAGCTTTGTTGGTGGGGGGTAGTTAATGATGCCCTCCAGTTTCTCCGGTTGTTTGTCTATACCGTCGGAGGTGACTAGATGTCCAAGAAATGAGATTTCGGTCGATCCGAATCTGCATTTCTCGGGGTTGCATGTCAGCCCGTGTCTCTGTAGACGTTCTAAAACTTTGTCTAAGTGGCACTGGTGTTCATCCGTAGTGTTCGAGAACACCACTATATCGTCTAGATATACGCGGACGAACTCGTCCAGGTACCCCCTCAAGACTTCGTCCATTAGTCGCACAAAGGTCATGGGGCTGTTTTTGAGGCCGAAGGGGAGGACTCGGAATTGGTATAGGCCCCGACGCGTCCGGAATGCCGTGTATTTTCGCGCGTCCTGCTTAAGTGGTACTTGCCAGTACCCTGACTTAAGGTCAAGGACGCTGAACACTTTTGCCCCTCTCATCTGACGTATCAGCGTGTTGAGGTCGGGCATTGGGTAAGCGTCGGACTCAGTGATGTCATTGAGCCGCCTATAATAGTAGTATGATTTGGTATGTTCACACCGCTGACCCTTCTGACCGCTGACCCTTCTGACCCTTCTGACCCTTCTGACCGCTGACCCTTCTGACCGCTGACCCTTCTGACCCTCTGACCCTTCTGATCCTTATGACCATTGGCCGCCGCACTTCGCGTACGTGCGCGACTTATATTTTTGACCACCGGCGGCACATTGCTCACGTGTGCGACATGTATATTTTCCCCGCCACCCTTTTCCCTGCCATCATCGGCCGCCGCACCTTTCGTACGCATGCGCATCGTTCAGATGACCACCGGCTATTAGTATACATCCCCTATCACTGACGCATGCGCACTAAAATTTCCCTCACCTGTTAAACTTCTAGAGACTACACCCGCACCTATCGTACGCATGCGCACTGTAAAATAACACACGTGTGTGAGCATGGGTTTAACCATAATAATATCACCTTTTACAAGAAATATACATTCATTATATAAAATAAAAATTATATTTTTTTTTACAAGAAATATACATTCATTCATTATACACAATATTTTTTACAAGAAATATACATTCATTATATAAAATAAAAATTATATTTTTTTTACAAGAAATATACATTCATTCATTATACACAATATTTTTTACAAGAAATATACAGTCTAAACATATTATACACAATATTTTTTACAAGAAATATACAATCTAAACATATTATTATATAAAGCAAAATTAGTTTTTCCCCTCGTATTCGTCCATATGTCGATTCAATTCTTCGTCTAAAAAACAAAATATAAAATAATAATATTAGGTTTATTGAAAATAATAATATTATATAAAACAAAAGATAAATTATATTTAAAAAATAAGTTTTTCTGTAATTTACCTTCTTTAGTATCCATTTGCTGATTCACTTCGTCACCGCTCCATACTGCTTCATGTGCCATCATGTGTAGTTCCAGGATATCATTATACCCATCCTCAGCCCAATCAGTAGCATTTTGGCTGGGTTGAGTGGTATTTGATATCCTGCCGAAAATTAGTACGTCAAATTCCGGGAGTACCTGGGACCGTACTATAATGTTTAGCACACTAGGGGAGATGGGCGATAAAGATTGGAACCATTCATTTATCTCAGATTGCCGCGATGAATTTGAAAACACCACGCCGCCTACAACATCCAGCGGCAATATATCTGGTGAAGACTGTATTGATGAAAACGAACGAAGCCATTCGTCCATTTGAGATTGTCGCAGCGGTGATGGTGAAAACTCCATGTTCTGTATCAGGTGTAGAAGGTTGTCTAACTTGTGATAATGAACTATGCAATTGTTGTTCGGTAAAGAAACCGCTATCTTGAGTCTAAATTAAAAATTATTGTTTATTTTATATTATATTATATTATATTGAGTCTAAGACATAATTTTTATTTAACACTTACCATATCTGAATATCCGATGGGGCGACGCTGCGGGGGAGGGCTAACGGGTAATAGTTGCGGGCTAAACCACCATGGTGTTTGCGCACCTTGTAGACTCCACGGTCTTTGCGCATCTTGTAGACTTTCATCTAACGCTGGAGCAATGGGCCTTGGGGTGACGGTCCTTGGGGTGACGGGCCTTGGGGTGACGGGCCTTGATGGCGGTCTATTAACCCGCTAAAACCAGATTATACACATTTTATAAATAATTTAATTTAAATATAATAATATTAAAAAATATATACTTACTAATACAAATGTCCTCTCTGGTGACATATAAAAAAAATGCGGTGTATCTTCTGGAAGAGTCGCTACAAGATCCCTATTGTAGCTATCCCCGTTAAACCACGACAAACTAGACGATGAATCTTAAGACATCTAAAAATCGATTTATACGTAAGTCTTGAATAATGTGAAAAAAAAAATACTTACGTCTTCCAGGCGAGAGATGCAATAATCACGAACAAAATAATAAATATTACACGTAAATAAAAGTCGTATTTATATTTATAAGACTAAGAATATACTGAGCTGACGAAAGGCACAAAAAGTATAACAAGAAAATCACAACTAACTATATAACCGTCGTCGTGACATATGGTGCCTTTTATTCGTATAAGCCAAAATTTGCGACGACTTCCCTTTCCATAATTCAATGAAAACCTACTACCTAAGGAATAATACACACCTAACTATATATCAGCCGTCGCGACAATATGGCACCTATTATTCGTATAATTCCACCAAAATCTGCGACGACTTTCTCTTTCCATAATTCAACTAAAGCCTGCAAGCTAGGAGGATAATACATATTCGTTCAGATGACCACCGGCTATTAGTATACATCCCCTATCACTGACGCATGCGCACTAAAATTTCCCTCACCTGTTAAACTTCTAGAGACTTCACCCCAGGTGACCCCCGCACCTTTCGTACGCACGCGCATCGTTCAGATGACCACCGGCTATTAGTATACATCCCCTATCACTGACGCATGCGCACTAAAATTTCCCTCACCTGTTAAACTTCTAGAGACTTCACCCCAGGTGACCCCCTCACCTTTCGTACGCACGCGCATCGTTCAGATGACCACCGACTATTAGTATACATCCTCTATCACTGACGCATGCGCACTAAAATTACCCCGGCCTGTTAAACTTCTAGAGACTTCACCCGAGGTCACCCCCGCACCTTTCGTACGCATGCGCACTGTAAAATTTTATAATTTTCAAAAATGTCCTGAAAGATCCTACTACATCCGTTTAGTACGTCTACAGTCTTAAACCGTTGTACACGTATATTTTTCGTCAGCGAACTAAGCCATTAAAATATTGTTAGCAAGTTTTTATTTTACTGTTCAACATTATTTACACGGAACTCAGTGTTTATTTATTTTTGTTTTGCTACCTTATAAAATTTGAAAAAATGTTTAAATGCGAGCAGTGTCCATCCACGTTTACGCGTAAGGGTAATTTGACTGCTGACCAAAAAAATCACAATGGTGTTCGTTTTTCTTGTACTATTTGCGCGTCGACATTCGGCTACAAGACACATCTCAATAGGCATATGAAAAATGTGCATGGTATGTATATTTTATGAGCTGTTAGGTTAAGTTAGCTTTATTTAATATTTAATTCAATATTTATTTTTTAAGCTGTAGCACGTGTCAGACCTCAACTAGGTGAAATCGTAGCGAATAATGTTGTATCGGAAGGTTCATCATCATATCAAGTTCAAAATGTCGATAATAATGAACTGGATGAATATTTTAACGATGGGTATGATAATATGCTCGCTGAAATGACTGAAAATGATCAAGGTGTCGTGAACGTTCCGGCTCAACGTCAACCAGCACAGCAAAGTGTTATCCGGCCTACTCCACAAGGTCATATTCAGATTGCTCCTGGAATATTTGTCCCAGATGTTCCGGCCGGTGGATCGAATGCGGCATCCGACGACGATATTATTTGTATGAAGGCAATGGACGAATTTGAGAATACAGGTTAGTTTTATTTATAAGAATTAATTAGATTTTTAAAAGACCTGCTGATTTTTCCTCCGTAGATTATTTTTTTGAAAATTATTATCGTAAGATTTAAAAAAGATTTTTGAAATACGTGACATTAAATTATTTGTAAATGTCACAAGTTAAAAAGATAAATAGCTGTTTCATTAGATTTTATTTATCAGTCGTGGGGTTAATTAGATTTTTAATAGATTAGTCAATTTATTATTTTCATTATATATTAATATTAGGTTTTTTTTTTTTTTTTTTTAAAGATTCTTTCACTACCAACGTTAACGGGAAACGGGTTTCCTCTGCCAACACCACGTCGGCTGCTAGGGCGAAAAAAGCGCGCATGAGCCTAGTACAGTCCCCCGGTTTCGTTGAGATTTCGTCCTCAGCAAATAGAAAAATTGTATGGTACTATGCCAAAAATGTTTATAATTCAATGATTTATACCGAGTTTCTTCGATCGCTCGAACCCGAGCTAAATAAAATATTGAAAACACGCGTTCAGCAAGGGGCGATTAAATTTAACCTTAAGCTCGAGGCGACCTATAACCGGGTCAACGTACCAAACTCGTCGGAGAACCGAGCGTTTAAAACAACAGCAACCGAAATTTATCCGGATAGTGATATCGACTCAATAGTAGAACAAGCGTTCGTGAAATTATTAGCTGAGGAAGACGCTTATGTTTCTCGCGGTAGTGGCTTTACTTTGGAAGCCATAGACGGCTTATTATTGGGAATATATAACTACACACCAATGACTGGGTCGTCATATATTGAATTACCAGCATACATCGACAGGAAACGGGGCACCATCAACCCACAAAACAATGACCAGCAATGTTTCAAGTGGGCGATTCTTGCGAGGCATGTGGTCGATAATTTATCAGATAAATATAAATATTGTGTCGGTAAAAACTATACACAACACGAAGCAAAATATAATTTTGATGATATTTCGTTTCCAACACCACTATCGGATATTTCTAAATTTGAAAAAAATAATCCGAACGTCACTGTGAATGTGTATGGGTTGGACAAAAAGTTCCAGCCGCCGCGTAAATATCCGACGTACGAGGTGTACCCGCTTCGTGTCGTTGATGAGGAGAAAACCAACCACTTTGATCTGTTGTTGGTGACGGACGGCGACAACTCTCACTACGTGTATATATCGAATTTTTCCAGGCTGGTCCGCGCTCAGAAAACCAGACACACTGGGAGTGTCGTGTTCTGTAAGAGATGTTTTAAGAGTTTCGACGACAGACGTCATAAATTCAAGTTGAGTGGGCAGGAGGCCCTGGACCAACACAAATTGATTTGCGGCGCGCACAAACCAATTTTACCAGAGATGCCTAAGGAGGGTGATTGTGCTGAGTTCAAGGCGTGGAAAAACACGGTTAGGCACCCGTTTGTCATTTACGCGGATTTTGAGGCAATCTTGACGAAGACGGAGGAGGCAAGAGGGGGTAGTACCACGATTACTCAGAAACACGAAGCTATGAGTTATGGGTTTTTGGTGAAAGCGAGCGATGACGTACCGGCAGAGTTATTGCTTCAACACCAGATACCGGCGGGGCCGGTAATCTACAGAGGCAGCGAAGACAGGACGGACGTAGCGAGACATTTTGTGGAGGCGATAGTTGAGGTGGCCCAGAAAATTGAAAATCTCATGAAGACGAATATTCCGTTAAAAATGGCTGAGGGTGAAGAAAAAACACATCAAGAGTGTATTAAGTGTAATTTATGCAAATGTATATTAGTCGGGGGCGATAAGGTTAGGGATCATGATCATTTGACAGACAAATTTAGGCAGACCTTGTGCTCTAGGTGTAACTTAGAGTTGCAACAGCCTAAATTTGTACCTGTCTTTTTTCATAATCTCACAAACTACGACTCGCACTTCATAATCACTGAACTTGGGTATGATACTAAGACTATCAACGTTATACCGAACAGTGAAGAGAAATATATATCTTTTTCGAAATATATAAGTAGTACCTTCACTGTTCGGTTTATCGACACGTTTCGGTTTATGGCGTCGAGTCTGTCGTCCCTGGCTGAAAATTTGCTTACACCCGAACATGAGAAATTCCGTGAGACAGCCAAACATTTTGTCACCGGAGATATATGCCGCTCGTGACTCGTAAGGGGGTGTACCCGTACGAGTACACGGATAGTTGGGAGCGGCTAGAGGATACTAGGTTACCGAGTAAGAGGAGCTTTTACAGTACGTTAACAGAGACCGGGATTAAGGAGAGCGAATTTGACCATGCTAAGGAGGTATGTATACACTTCGCACGTATTTAGATCTATATTTGAAAATTGTTGTGTGTTACAGGTATGGAGTCATTTTAACTGTAGGACGCTCGGTGATTATTCCGACCTGTACCTGAAAATTGACGTGTTACTGCTGGCGGATGTTTTTGAGAACTTCCGCGACTTGTGTATGAAGACGTATAACCTGAACGCCGCCCATTATTTCACCGCCCCAGGCTTAAGTTTCGATGCGATGCTTAAGTTCACGGGGCAAAAGCTCCAGTTATTGCATGATTACGACATGTAATTGATGTTCGAAAATGGTCAGTATATTATTTTTTAAATGTGTATTTAATAATCTTATATATTTGTTATAGGTATACGTGGGGGATTGGTGCAGGCGAGCAAGCGATATGCGATGGCGAACAATGTAAAGACTCCGGGGTATGACGAAATTAAGGAGAAATCGTGGATCATATATCAGGACTGTGAGTATATTTTTTTCAAAACTTTTTAATATTTTTCTTACTTAATAATATTTTTTAAATTTTATAGGTAACAACTTGTACGGGTGGGCAATGTCTCAGTACATGCCGTACGGTGGGTTCAACTGGGTTGAACCTAAATTGAATGGGTTGAACGATTTAGACGACACTTCACCCATAGGACGAGTGTATGAGGTGGACGTGTCGTATCCAAGACACTTGCATAACGGACATAACGACCTGCCTTTCCTGCCGCAAAACAGCGTGCCTCGAGGCTCGAAGGTTAGGAAGTTGATGGCGACATTTGAGAAAAAGGAGAATTACATCGTACATTATAGGAACCTACAGCAGGCCATTAAGAATGGTTTGATAGTTGAAAAAGTAAATATTTGTATTTTATATGATTTTAAATAGATTTTTAACATTTCTCTTATTTTGTATAGGTACATAGAGTGATACAGTTTAACCAGTCAGATTGGTTGGCTAAATACATAGATTTAAACACCGAAATGAGGAAAAAGGCTAGGAACGCATTTGAGAAAGACTTCTTTAAATTGATGAATAACGCTGTATTTGGTAGGTTACTTTTAAATTTTTAAAACTTTTAAAACTTTTTAAAAATTTACTATTGTGCAGGAAAAACTATGGAATCGAAACGAAAACAGCTGAAAATAGAGTTGGTATCCTGTGAGAGGAGGTTACAGAAATGTATTAATAAAACTACTTTTAAACACTGCACTAATTACAATGAAAACCTCAATGCAGTAGCGTTGGAGAATAAGATAATTAAATTTGACAAACCTATATATATTGGTAAATATACTTTTAAATTATATAATACATTTATTTTCTATAGGATTTTCAGTGCTGGATATCAGTAAGACGTTGATGTATGACTATCACTACAATGTTATGCAGAAGCACTATAGGGATAAAATTAAGCTAATGTACACTGATACAGGTAAATATATTAAAACTTATCTAATTTTCATATATTATATTTATTTTTATTTTTAGATTCGTTGATATACCATATTAAAACTACTGATTTTTATGAAGACTTGGCAGCTAATCACAGCTTGTTGGATCGAATGGATACAGCTAACCTTCCCAGTGATCATCCATGTTATGTTGCAGTTAGAAAGAAGGAACCTGGGTACTTCTCAGATGAAGTAGATGCTGATATAATCACCGAATTTTGTGCATTGAGGGCAAAGTCCTACGCTTTTAATGTATATGCAGGAGAAGAGGATGCGGTGAGAGATAAGGACGACAAGGATAAAGTTGGTGGTGAAAAAATTAAAGCAAAGGGGATAAGGCAGCATGTGGTTAAGAACCACATGACATTGGAAGACCACAAGAAATGTTTATTTGGAGAAGCTGGCGTGGAGGCGTATAAGGATAACGTGTCAATACGGTCATTCAAACATCAACTCATGACGATTAAGACGAAAAAATTAGCATATAACAGCTATGATGATAAGAGGTTGGTGCTGCAAGATAAAGTACACACACTGGCCCATGGACATTATAGTATAGAGTAAGTTATTACAAAATATATATTTAAATTATTTTACTAACATTTTCTCTTAATTTTACAGGGAAGATGAACCAGAGGATGATTGGCCGGAATTAGATTTTATGGGGGGGAAAGAAGGGTGGAACTGGAACGAGGAAGAGAAAGGCTTAATGAGAGACCTTCTACAGTGCCTAACCTAAGTTTATATACTGTACATTTTTTTTTTGTTATATATATTGATTATTGTAAATATTACTCTATTAACTGTTATATTATATTGATTAATGTAAATAACTTGTAAATATTATCCTAATAATTGTTATATAATGTAAATACTTGATAATAAATTATTGTGTAATTTGTAAAATATTAGATTAGTGTATAAATTTGTAGTATTAACACCTTTATAATGTATACTTTGTAAATATCCATGTAAATGTATAATTTTTATATTGTATAATTTGTAAATACTCTGTAAATATTATCCTATTAATTGTTATATAATGTAAATACTTGTTAATAAATTATTGTGTAATTTGTAAATATTTTTGTAAAATACGAGTATTAGATTAGTGTATAAATTTGTAGTATTAACACCTTTATAAATATCCATGTAAATGTATAATTTTTATATTGTATAATTTGTAAATACTCTGTAAATATGCCGTATGCTTTTGCTAGATATGTAAGTTAGTTTACAATGTTTTCTTATAATATTTTTTTTTTGTATAAATGTTCATGTTTTTCTGTTTCAGGTAGATGGAAGTCAATATATTTAATTAAAAAACCTTGTAAATGGTAACATATATAAATGTATGTATATATGTTAGCATATAAATAAAAAACAATGTTAAAATATAATATTATTATATTTATTAAATAAAATGTATACAAAAAACTTTAAGAATTATTTATAAACCATTTTCTTATAGCAAAAACTTTATAAAATGTACATTGCTTAGGATTAAATTCCATATGAAAAATACAGCAAGGTAGAGTTTCGTCATCACATATTTGATAAAAACGAGGGCAGCCTAAGTCTTCAATGTTGATGAGTGCAACGTGTGGTATATGCTCCATAAGAACTTGTTTTTTCTGTTCACCTTTTGACGTAGATGCAACTGAATTTTAATGAATTCAATATTTTACCTACTTCTTCGTACTCGACATCACCAAATTCTATAGCTAGTTGATGATAATTACGTTACAGCCACTTGTTGGTTTTACGACTTTTGTTATCCTCTATGGATTTTGAATGTTTAAAAATCCAGTGTTGGGTCGCCCATGTAAACGTGTCTACTATAGACATTTCTTTAATCATATATTTATTGTTGACGCCGAGTATGCATTGCATGTCCAATATGGCTGAAGACATTATGGCTTGTCTTTATAATAAGTTTCTATAGTGTTAAGACGGCTCAGTATAGATGGTATTATTTTTTTAATCTCGCCTATAGTTTCTTTGATATATTGTAATGATACTTCGCCTCTTGTCATAAGCTCTGTAATCTCTATGCACGTTAATTCTAACTTTTGTGTTTGTTCCTCTTGAATTTGTATGGATTTATGGTTTTCTTCGAGTAAATGCTCAATTTTATCGAGTTTATTCGAATACGATTTAACAATTTGTTCGAGATTTACTAAAAAATTATTAGTTTCACTAGACTGAGAACTACCGAACACGTTCATGTCTGTAGCTAGACTAACACTATTTTCTAATGTCACGTACATTTATCCAACTATTGTGTGTATTATCAAACCCTAGCCATTTGACAAAAATTTGCTCCCCCTTCTTACGGATAATTTTCTCCACTAAATAGTCATTCGGATAGTTTGTTTTCAATATTTCCTCTGAATAAAAACAACCAGCAATCGGTTTTCCAGTATAATCTTGTAGCTGATAATTAGTAGGTAATGTTTCGTTAATTTTAACAATTTTGAATATTTCTGTAGACCAGCTAGGTAAATATCCTTTTGTAAATACACTTTTATATGTGCTTATACGAACGTTATCACCAACGTTAAATTTGATTGTTCCATTAATAATTTTTCGTTGTTTAATTACGACAGTCGCCGGATCTGCATCAGCTTGCCCTGGTGTCATTCCTATTGTCCTATGTTTTGAGTTGTTGTACTCGTTAATCAATGAAGGTAAAATTGATATCCATTCGTGTGAACCGCGTGCCGTAAACTCTCTAAACATTTTTTCTTTCAATGTGCGGTTGAAACGTTCGATAATGCATGCTTTCATGATGCTAAACGTTGAATATTTGTGTATGTTATGCTTTTTCATCAATGCGTCGAATGTAGCATTGTAAAATTCTTTACCATTATCGAACTGTAATAGTTTTGGTGTGCGTGTGAACAGTATTTTAGACATTGCATTTGAAACTTCTATAGCAGTTTTAGATTTTAATTCTATGGCCCAAGCAAACTTTGTAAAACAGTCTATGACGCACAAAATATATTTGTACCCCTTGTTTTGTTTTGAATATGGTATCATTTCGACCAAGTCGGCCTGCCACAGATCGTTTTTGCCATAAACATTAACTCTACGTCTTGTATAATTTTTTCTAACAGGTTTGTGTAGTTCGTTCGCAATTTCGCGTTTAGACATTTCTAATACGTTTTATTATACCCGCTTCTTGCAGTTCTTCAAAAATGGATATTATTTCGTTCGAAACACCTGTATTACCAGCCGCTTTTGACGCTAATAGTAACCGCAATCTATCGACTAGTTCGTTAGGATCGTTCCAGTAAACTAAACTATGTTTTTGTAATTTCAAAGATAGACCTCTACCCGCTAGAAATAAATTTTGGATTATATCATAATATTTATTTCCACCTTTTTTAATTTCTTTTCCATCTGTTTTTAGATGCGCTGATGTTTGAATTAATATAGATTTATATGATTCTAAATCATGTTTGGTGTAGAATTTTGGAGATTTTGAAAACACTAAATTACCAAGCCCTTGTGTTAACGGGTACGAAGTATCTTCAATAATCAATTTATTCCCGACAAGATTAATTTCTTTTTTCCCCAAATATACACTTCCGTTTGATCGTATTTTTGGTCCATACGTTTTGTCTATATCGTAGGACTTAAACCAGTCGTTTATTTTAAAATCTGACGAATCGTCTGTATTGTTTATTTCAAAATATTGAGAATCTTGAGAGTCTTTTCCAAGTTCCGTGGGTGGGTTTTGAAATGTTGCAGGATTTAAATGTTTTATTTCGTTTAATGGTTCGATAATCGGACTTAATGTTTCTGATACTATTGAGTGAATATCAGCTTTTCCGTGTTTTAATGCTTCATACTTGCGTTTAATATTTTCTTTGGCTTTAATCAATTCTCCGAGTACCTCACCGTTAGAAGCCATGTCTGTGAATGTGGTGTTTTCATAAAAACAACACTTTATATAACGACGAATGTGTCAAATCCGAGGCGATATCGACCATTGTCACGTTCACAGTCTTTGTTTATTACGATAAACTCGAATCTCCCCCGACTCCAACACGATGTACTAAAGTATTTAAACTCTGAATATGACATATCACCAGAGCAATGCTCGTTGTATACATGCTTTAAATTAGTTTCGTCTTGTTTAAATAACACAATAAAATTAGCGTTATCACGCAAAAGTTGTTTTGGCACTTTTGAATAACTCTGAGCCAGGTAGCAAACGTCTATTAAATTATGTCTAGCTCTGGAAAAGTAAGTTCTTGCAATATTTTGGTTTTCAGAAATAATATCGTCAAAAATAAATACAGAGTTTGGCAAAGCTTCTTCAGGTGCTATAACTTTTTCATTTTCGTAGAACGTGAATAATTGTATTCCATCAATGTCTGATAATATATCGCTAAGCATTTTATATTTAGGCTGATCCAATGTTTTCGAATATATGTATACGTTTTGAAATCGTATTCCGTTTATATTGGTTAATAATGTGTAAATTAAATTTGTTTTTCCGCAGCCAGAAGGGCCCAAGATAAGCGCGCGTATCGTATTTGGTAGAAGCGCTCCGTGTCTGTGTTTTTGATCTGATGTAGGCGGGTCCACGTTTTCAACTGTTAGTTTTATTTCTTGTTTGATGAACTTCATTTTTTATATAAATAACTGAGCAACTATGATAAATCAATCAGTACACAATGTCACTCGCTCGAAGAAGCAACAAGAATAAGGGCAGTGGACTTATCAACACGCTTATAAACAAATTACCAATCGAGCTTCACGTACCTGGTATTATATATATATAAACCTTATAATATTATAATATATACAATAATAATTTTATATTCTAGGTTATCAATACTGTGGACCTGGTACAAATTTAAAAAAAACGATTAGCACATGGTGATAAGGTATAACCCTCTGGACTCTGCTTGTAGAGATCACGATATTGCATACGAACATAGCAACTCTATCGCAGATCGAAACAAAGCCGATTATATATTAGAGCAGCGAGCCTGGGATAGGTTCAAGTCAAAAGATTCTAGTTTAAAAGAAAAAGCTGTGGCTTGGGGTGTGACTACCGCTATGAAAACAAAACGTAAAATAGGCGGAGGTTGTGGGTTTAAAGCAGCACTTAAAGCAAGTAAAAACGTTATAAAGAAAAATATCGGTGAAAAAAACTTGATGAAATTAACTAAAAAATGTGTAGCTGTCGCGCGAAAAACATTTAAAATTAAGAAGACTAAAGTTCCACGAACAATAACGATCCCGAAAAAAGGCGGCTTGTTACCACTCATACCGATTTTTGCCGGTTTGTCAGCTCTGGGAGCCTTAACTGGTGGTGTTGCCAACGTTGTGAAAATGGCTAATGAATTTAATAGACACACACCATCGCATTTAGGCAAAGGTTTATATCTAACACCGTATAAAGGCAACTCATACAAAATTGATTTCGGTTTATATCTCGCACCATTTAAAAGTGGAGGGGGTGCCAAAACTAAAAAAAACTAATATCTACGTTACCCAGGAGAGCGTTGTACGATTTCGAACTTATAAAAATCGCTCGTTTAATGAAAATACCTCATTTCATCGGCGTGTTTACCAGAGATAGGTTATCTACACGTCCTAAACGCCAAGAATCAGCGATTATTAACTTGGACACGGAAAACGGTACAGGAACGCATTGGGTAGCGTATAAAAAAATCGGAAATCAAGTTAAATATTACGACAGTTTTGGAAATTTACCACCCCCACTTGAAGTACAAAAATATTTTCGCGGATGTGACATACATTTCAATTACAGCAGGGAGCAAAATTATAATACTACAAACTGCGGACATTTGTGTTTAAAATTTTTATCATGTTCACATTAACGTTAAACGGAAACTCTAGTGAGCTGTCATGCGAGATCTTTCCACCGTTGGAAGTAGAAAATACTGCACAGATATGTCTTTTGAGTTTACAGACAAATAATTCTATACCAAACATAGAACCTGGCTGTAATAATATTGCCTTTCGTAATTTAATCAATGAAAATGAGTACGTAATTATACCTACAGGAACATATGAGTTGAATCAGTTAGAGTCTATTATTCAAAAAATTATGCCCGACTATGTCACTATGATTGAATTAAAAGCAAACAGCAGAACATTAAAGTGTACGATATCGTGCAGCCATGATGTTGATTTAGGAGTCGAGAATAGCATAGCGAAATTGCTAGGTTTTAGAAATGTACGATACACTACTGGTGCTACTCATGAATCTGAAAATATTGTCAACATAATGAAAATAAACTGTATAAAAGTAGAGTGTAATTTAATCACCGGCTCATTCTGTGACGGAGCGCCGAGCCAGACTATACACGAACTTTACCCCACTGTGCCTGCTGGGTATAAAATCGTTGAAGTACCTAGACACCCAGTTTTTTATGGTCTCAACACGAGATCTATAAGTAGAGTAATTGTCGTACTAAAAGATCAAGACGACTGTCTAATTAATCTTCGCGGTGAACCAATAACAGTCCGCCTACAAATCACGCGTGGATATGGCGCTCAAATTTAACATTAATATAAAAAGAGCTACAATCAAAAAACCTATCAGTTTACCACCTGCCGTTAAGAAGTCAACATCTATGTCAAAATCGAAAAAAACTATCTCTAAACCGAAAAAAAACAAGTCCAAGCTCACTAAAAATAATTTAAATTTTCTCCGATCGCTACAAGTATAATTATGGATGACACGTATTTAGACGTTACGGCCGACTATGTCGACGAGTGTAAAATAACGCAGATGAATTATCATTCGTTCACTCCGTACTCAAACATGTCTTTATCAAATAATGATGAAATAAGGATAAGTATTTTAAATATGGATTCGTACACTTTACCGTGTGAAAGTTATATTTACATCGAGGGAAAAGTAAATAAGCCTACCGATACTGTTGGAGATGTTCGTTTTTCAAATAACGGATTGGCATTTTTATTCTCTGAAATGCGATATGAAATAAACGGAATAGAAATACAGAAATTAAAATCCCCCGGAGTTTCGTCTTGCTTGAAAGCATACTGCTCGTATTCACCAAACGATTTGAATACTCTAGAGAGCGCTGCTTGGGACTCTGCCATGGATAGTGAAGATAATAAAAATTTTATGTCCAACGATGTATTTACCGGGTGTATCCCTCTAAAACATTTATTCGGATTCTGTGAAGACTATAAAAAAATATTACTTTAATGGTAATCAGCAACTGATTTTAAATCGTGCATCTACCGACCTTGATGCGATACACGTTGTTGGTGCGGGTGCGACTGCAGCCGTTGACAAAAATAAAAAAATTAAAATTTACCTTACTAAGGTGACTTGGAAGATGCCTATTATCAAAGTCAGTGATAAAGAAAAATTAAGACTGATAAAAGTAATAGATTCACATAGAACACTGTCGTGTGCGTTCAGAACTTGGGACCTGTGCGAATATCCGATACTTCCTAGAAATAATTCTCATTCGTGGACGGTAAAGTCTAGTAGCCTGCTAGAAAAACCGAGATTTTTACTGTTTGGGTTACAAAACAGATCGAAAAAAAAATATTGAAAACGATGCTGGCGATTCGATCACTGTCAACTAACAAACCTTAAGGTCCACTTAAATTCTGAAGTGTATCTCGTACGAAGAACTTTCGTGCAGATTTTTAAAAATATTACAACCAGTATTTGTATACGGCCTATACAGACTTTCAAAAATCGTATTATGAGCGAGATTATTGCGAGCCATTATTATCAAAACAACATTTTCAAAACTACGTCCCAATCGTCGTAGTTGATTTATCACGTCAAAACGATAATGTGAAGTCGTCTACCATAGATCTACGTATTGAATTTGAAACGGATACAGTTATTCCAGAAAAAACTGCAGCATATTGTTTAATACTACATGACCAGATTATAACTTACAACCCGTTTAGTGGCGATGTTAGAAAATTGTAAACCTTGTAAATATTTTTTACCTTATAACTATTTTATACCTTGTAAATATTTTATACCTTATAACTATTTTGTGCCTTATATTCTAATAAATGAAAAAACTTGTTTTAAGTATCACGCTTGTTTTTATTTCACACAAATCATTTAACTCCATACAAATATTAAAATAGTCGTCGCTTAACATTACGTACTGGTGCTGGGTGTTCGGCAAATGTTGGTTTACATGGTGTTGACGTATACGTCGGATTTAAAGTAGGGTGTTGACGTACCAATCGGATTGAAGAAATCCGATCCATCATTTACGTCGAATGGTGGGCTTGCAGGTGATTGTAGTAGTCGACGCTTCACATTGCGTACTGGTGCGTTGTGTTCGGTAAATGTTGGTTGAGACGGTGGTGGCGTAATGAATTGAGAAGGTGATAGAGTCCTGAATTGGCGGAAAAAATCTGGTCCACCATTTTCATCACAAGGTTGACGGCTATGAGTCTCATCTGGTACTTGTAATAGGTTACCAATAGACTGGAAAAAAAAAAAATAAATATTGTTTTTTTTTTATTTAAAAAAAAAAAGTTTATATAAATTACCTCTGACTGTCTAAGTGTATCGCATCTGAGTGGCAGATCGTCATGTAAGCTAGATATAGGAGAAAAGGTTGGCGATATCGGGGAATCAATTTCACCATTCTGCGACTAAAAAAAAAAAAAACTTGTATTAAATATTTTTTTTATACATATAATAATATATTTATGCATTACCTCATGCGACATCCGGTTTAACACAGATTCTGCTAGTTGAACAGTTGCGTACATTTGAATTTGGGTGACCATGTTTGGGTAAGTTTTTTCTGTTCGTTCGTCTTTTAAGTTTTTGATGAATATTAACATATCTTGCAAATTTTTCGGTGGTGATTTAAGGCGAGCACATTTCTCATATATGTACGTCGCAAACTCCTTAGACTGTTTTATAATTAGCGGAGTGGTGTATACTTGTTTCCTCACAATACTTTCGAAAATACCACATTCAAGATATTGAAGCCTAATAATGTCTGCTCGATTCAATAGTACTTACAACCGTCTTGAGTTAATGATTCAATAACTAAGACTTTCTTTGCCATACACCATACTAGATATTTTATGAATTTCTGTCTCAAGAAATATAAAGCGCTTGTACATCAGAGGTGTATCTAATATGAATGATAAGATATGCCCCATCATAGAGAATATACGTCTAAGAAAATCTGGTGGTATATTTACATGGCGAGATGATGTTAATAAATGAACGGCGACTTGGAAATTTTCAGATGGGTCAATACCAATGTGTACAAACTTACGGTTCGTAAAGTCGAGCGTGTAGATTGTGGATTCGATGAGTTCAGCAGGCGGTGTAGGTGGCACATAAGTGAAAGTCTTCTTTTTGTTTAACGCAGCGTTTTCTTCGATTGATCCAGCCATGTTTAAACTCACAAACAATTTTCAGAGCGAGCGAAAAAATATACGTGAACAACGGTTAAGGGCAGTAGACGGACTAAACGATTGCCGACTGCCGAGTCGTCAGATGTCTCTAGAAGTTTAACAGGTGGGGGAATTTTACAGTTCGCATGCGTACGATAGGTGCGGGTGTAGTCTCTAGAAGTTTAACAGGTGAGGGAAATTTTAGTGCGCATGCGTCAGTGATAGGGGATGTATACTAATAGCCGGTGGTCATCTGAACGATGCGCATGCGTACGAAAGGTGCGGCGGCCGATGATGGCAGGGAAAAGGGTGGCGGGGAAAATATACATGTCGCACACGTGAGCAATGGTCAAAAATATAAGTCGCGCACGTACGTGAAGTGCGGCGGCCAATGGTCATAAGGATCAGAAGGGTCAGAGGGTCAGAAGGGTCAGAGGGTCAGAAGGGTCAGAAGGTCAGAAGGTCAGAAGGTCAGAAGGGTCAGCCGTCAGAAGGGTCAGAGGGTCAGAAGGGTCAGCGGTCTGAACATACCAAATCATACTACTTATAATCAATGCACAGTCGGGGTGAGCCGTCTTTCTTTTTTGCTAAGACGATGGGTGTGGCCCACGGGGATGTGCTTTGTTCTACCAGTCCCTGCTCCTCCATGTCCCGTATCATGGTATCGATTATGGCCTGTTTTACCGGTGGATAGGGATATGGTTTGAGGGCTATGGGTGTGTGATTTTTGAGGAGGATGTCGTGTTCTATTAACCTGGTGCGGCCTACCCTACCGTTGAATACGTCCGGATAGTTACGTACTACTTCGGCGAGTTTCGCGCGTGTGTGGTGGTCACCGTTTATTGTTAATTTGTCGACATCTAGTGCTGGGCTGGGGGTGGGTATCCGACCTTTCCAGCACGCTGTTGTTCTCCTATTCGAACCTAAATGAATAGTGCTCGTTGTGTAGTCCCAGGTGACTTCGTTTTGTACGAGAAAGTCATGACCTAGGAGCATGTCGCAGTATAAATTGTCCAGAATGGCTGCGTTGAAGGTGACCGTGAGGTCTCCGATTCTGGCTACGAATGTGGAGGTACCACTTGTCAATGTGGTGTGACCATCCGCCATTCGTACCTGAGTTTGTTGTCCATGGTGGGGGTGCCAAATTTTTGTGCGGTGTTCGGGCTTACATACGATTTTTGTGCTTGGGAGTCGAGTAGAGCTGTTACGGGGCCTGACCTAAATTCGAGTTCGACCGCGGGGGTCGGAATTTTGTCGGGGCATACTCGTTTAGCGTTATTCGACGTTGGTGGTGATGTATAGCTGGATAACTGGTTCTTAACCGCGATATCGGTGTTCTGGGGAGCGGTTTGCACCGCCATTACCAGAGCATCCGTTTCGGTTACCTCTGTGCTATGTGTATGTACTGTATGTGTACCTGTTAATTTCGTAGTAGGGGTCGTTGATGCGGACCTTTGGGGTGCCGCGTGGTGTGGTGATGGTGACCTGCTACTTAACGAAATTGTTGATGTTTGAACGGGTGATATATGTGAGGACGCCGAGTTTATCGATGCGCGTTTGATGGTTATATCCCCGTCTGTAATGCCGAACGTTGTGTGTGGTGGCGTGGTTGTGTGCGTGTGTGTGGTGGAGGCGGCAGTGTGGACAGGTGTCCGCCGACTCATTTCCCGTTTCCCGAACGCGGTGTGTTCCCGGGGCAGTCACTGTTCCAGTGAGGACCTCCACAGTATCTGCACGGGTTGGGCGGTTGCGGCTTGGCTGCGGTACCGTCCCGTGTTCGCGTTTGGTGCGTTGGTTGGGGCGGGCGGGTTTGGGTAAATTTTTTTTGCGCCGGTTTCGGCTGTGGGTGTGTCGCTGGTTCGTCAGGTGTGTACTCCAGGACTCCAGCGATCCGGCGGAGGTCTCCAAAAGTCGCTGGTCTTTGCAATCTTATGTGCGTGCGGTATTCGTTGCGCGTTAGTCCGGCTATCGTACCTACTAGCTGTGTTTCAGATAGTCCGGTATTGACGCGGCGGGCAAGTTGATTTTTTTGCGTTACGAACTCCGTTAGCGATTGCGTTGGTGTTTGTCGGACGGATACTATCTCTGCCCGCAGCCGTGACTGAATTTCCACGTTGTCGAATTTTTCTAAAAATTCGGCGCGGAACTCGTCCCAGGTGACGTCCAGTAGTCTGATGGTGTTCCACCAGGTACAGGCTGCACCCTTTAGCTGCTGTGCGATAATATTTGTCTAGGCCGACCTATCTATACGCGTTTGGTACATTATCGACTCCGCTTTATGAATAAATCTTGCCGGGTCCTCAGGTGTTGTCCCGTGGTACTCCGGCAGCGAATGTCTCGCTGCACATACGTCGTCGTATGGTATCAGCGTCGATTGTTGTGCCTTTAGGTGTATGTGGAGGAGGGGGCATGGTGTATATTTGTTGTGTCGTCGAAACGTACTGAATGATCGGCGCGGGGTACCTCGCTCCGTATTCCGTGTTGTTCGATAACACTGTGTGGTGTGGGCGGATCGGTGGGGTTGCATCCGGTTGTTGTTCCGGTGCTTGGCGTGCCATACCCATCTCTAGGCGTCGCATTGTCTCTGCAATGCGACGTTGGTCTTCGCCAAAACGGGCCATACAGTTCTCGAGCATGGTCAGTCGTGATTCCAGACCGCAGCCATGCGCCGAGTTCTCCACCGCTTGCCGTACCTCCTTTATTATGGTACGACCCGTTTGGATCATACCCATAGTTTGTTGGTGTGTGGGTGTGGTTGATGGTTGGGTAGTTGTATTGTTGGTGGTTATCCGGGGTGGGGAGTGTGATGTCTCGATCTGTATTTGCGCGGTTTGACTGGCGTCGGGTACCAGACCTGTGGCCGAGCCCTGTCCGGTGTGCCCAGTGGGTTCCATAGGCGGGAACCGGATTTCGTTGGCCTGCAGGTTCATGTCCACGAAATGTTGTGTTAATCGGATTTCGAGATCACCCTTCGCGCCCGTATCCGATAAACCGCGCTGTCCGCATTCGTAGCGCAATTCCGCGGCAGTCAATTCATTAATATATTTTCCCGGCATGACTTCCGGTTGGTTTTCCGGTGTTGTTGACGAGAAATTATAAAATGTGGCTGTTGTCGTTGGAACGGGTATCGCGTTCCTTCGATCAGCTGTGTTGTCCGCTTATCGGTGTTTATTTGCGTACGGAATGTAGGTCAGTGGGTTGTTATTGTTATTGTTGCGCTTGCCGGGCGATCACAGTAACCGGTCTTCGCAGAGTGTTTTCGCGGATGCGCGTGTGTGCGTTATCCGGTGCACTACTGCGATTAGGGAAGGCGGCGGCTGTCGCTTTAAGCGGCGGCGGCGGCAGTCCGATTACGTGGTATTTTTGTCCCGGGTAATCGCGTGTTGACGTTGGCGGGTGGTGGTGCTAGGCGGTGGTGGTGTGACCCTCTCGCGCTCTTGCGTTCCTACCTAATGCCTACCTGCGTCGTGTGTGTTTGGTGCGTCGCGCGCGGTGCGGTCGGTGCGTCCGTGAGTCGGGCGGCGCGGCCGGTCGTTACGTCCTTTATGGTTATGTAATATATTACGTAACGCCGGTTTTTCCGTTACCGCCTGCAAACCACGTTTTTGCCGGATCGCGTTGGTGACTTTTTTCCAAAACGCGCAACGGGGGTTTATTTGGGGGTGGTAGTATGTGGTAAGAAAGTTTTCACTTACCGGTGATTCCTGTTCGGGGAGCCAGTTGACGCGTACTTGTGGGCCGCGTGGGTGATGAGGTGCTTGTGGTGATCGACGGTGAGCAGTCGAGTCGGAAAACAAACAAGCGAAGTACAGAAGTACAAAGAAAAGAAACAAATAACGCACTGACAGGTGATGGTTGTGACTTTTTATTGGTTCAGCAGTTACTGTCAATATTCAATATAATCTAATACACAAAAAAAAAAGAGAAATATCGAATCCGCGAGTTCGTGCAAAAAGACGGCGGCGATCAGTGTCGGTCGGAGTCGTGAAGACGAGAGAGCGCGCCTTGGCAATCCGGTTCGCTGGACGGCCGGCCGACGGTTCCAGGCGCGCGTGTCGCGCGCCGGCGTCGTCCGTCGTCGGTTGGCGGTTTGATTGAGAAGCCGCGGCGCGGCTTCCGCGCAAAGGCTGTTTGAATTCAAACAGATTTTGCGCGGGACCGCGTCAACCTACAATAAAAAAAAAAAATGTTTTTTTATTATTAAAATATTTTCTACTTGAGCACGACGTATGCACTTTTGTATAATAAAGCGTGGTGTATATTATACTGTATATGCTGCGTCTATCGTCGTCCGTCGACCGTCGTCGGTCGAACTGTAGACACATGGAGGGGATACGACTGCTCAGGCCGACCACCGCGGACGACGAGCGTCATTCTATATGCGCAGAACCGGCATGATCTCTCGTGGGACAGAGTTATTTTAGTTATTTTGTTGTAATTTTATAATAATATTAATTCAACTTACCAGCTACCGTATTTATAATACATAATAACAAATTTAAATATAATATCAAATATAAATAGCTGAATAATAAACGAAATATTTTAAAAAACCCTCTGAAGAAAATGTCACATTAAACAACTGGTGGAAGTTTCATATTTCTTATACTTTTTGAATAAAAATAAATATCAAAAACAGTTTGGGTCTAAATCGTTGTTTTAAGTGATTTCGTAAGTTTAATTTTCAAACAATTAAATTTCTGCTTTCTATAGATATTCGAAGAAAAACTTATGGAAAATCTGGAAGCAAATGTTCAAACCTTAGATATAAATACTTAAAATTACAAAAAGTCTTAAGTAAATATTGTAAAACCGAAGTTATTTGTAATTGTGAAACTGGTTACGACACCATTTGTTAAATCATGTTTTATGTATATATATGTATTTTATGTGTATTCCTAACCTAACCTTTGATGTACCTATTGGATAAAAAAAAATAAAAAAAAATGTAATGTTTTATCTTAAATGTGTTGTTATTCGATTTAATATCTTGTGGTCGTATGGCGTGATCGGTTAGTACGTATAAAATAATTTAAAATGTTTTTCAGGTAACAGGTTAGTAAGTATGTATAATTTTCCTTCTAGTATGTACTAATCGTACATTTATACGATCACAATTTTTTTGCATTTTTTTCTATCAGAGTTTTTAGTATATAATAGGACTGCAAATGAAAAAACTAGCAGTTCAATGTATAACTCCTAACAGTTATATCCTACTTTTTATTTATACAAAAGATTTTTTAAAATAAATTTAACAAAAATAATTTCACTATGAGTCCACCAATAATTGTCAGTAAGTCTATACTCTGTACCAAATAAGAGCGCACCGCGTTGGCGCATCCAAATGAATCGCGGAGCGACGTCTGGACCCCCTGGTCGGGTCTATTCGCTCTGTGATTGGTCGCCGATCGTCGGTCGGATTCACCGCCGTCGACGCCGCCGTGAATACAGGGAGCTGAAGTAATAATGCGTTTCACGCGTATTAATCAGTAAAATAATACACATACTTTTCGTTTTTTTTTCTTAACATAGGTATTGAACTCAATATAATATTAAAAACATTCAAAATATTCACCAATGCACGCAAAAAATATAACAACGTCTAACCGCATATACCGTTAAAATTGGTGTGATAATATACAACACTCTGTATTCAGAGTTGACCTGGCCGGCGCCGGAATACACTGCGGCAGCGCTCTCTGACATGCGCGAGTTTCGACCGGTTTTCGTGCGCCGCCCGGTGCGCTCTTATTTGGTACAGAGTATACATTCGACATCCGGGCTTTAACAAGAAAAGTATTACACACTGAAAAAAATTATATTGTACTGTTTTACGAAATAGGTTTGTTAGAGAATATATCGTAGTTACTACCAGAAAATTATAATACATACAATATTATATTGTTTTGAGTACAGTCCTCTTTCAGTTAGTTAGTGATGGTGAAATGAAAAAAAAAAATTGCTGTGTTTAAAAATGATTAGGTTAATACAACAGAATAATCGAATGAACAAAACTTTTAATAGACGGAACAGAATTTCTGGTAATCTACGTTTATTAGAAAAAATCTATTTTTAAACTGAGTATTTAACTAATACTAATAACCGAACGATCTATAGTGGGTACAGAACATTTGTGATTTCAACCAAACCCTGTGATAGTAACAACAAATAATAAGGTTTTCCCGTTATTATTAGATAGTAGATATGCCGATAGTTGATACTGAGTAGGCGAGAGGGTGGTGGATGCCGACGATTATGGTCAGTGCGGATTGCGGATTGACTCATGTCTCATTTTACATTTGACTCGTTTAGTGTTTAAGTCTTTTAAGCAATTCGCCAATTCGGTAACTTTGGTGCTGACTGGTGACGCTGCTTGCAATTTTGACTTTTGAAATTTTTATGTTTAAGTACTATTAAATAATAATATTACTGACGCGGTTGGCAATTATAATTTGAAGTTTTTATATCACACATTATTATATTTTTCTAAAATAAATAATATACAATTTAGTAACTACCTACATATTACAATGGCAGACTGCGATACAGTTGACTTTCTAAAAGCCTGGAGTCTAGAGCAATACATTGAAGTTTTTCATGGTAAGTACATCTAAATATTTGATACGTTTACAGTTTACTCAATAGCATAGGGCCCCAACATTTTTTCCCCGGAGACCACGTGTTCACGTGACAATTTTTTCAATTTTCGTAGACCACTAATATTGAATTCATTTTTACAAATTAATCGCGGAAAAAGATTCAAAAATAGATTTAAAAAGAATGAAATATTGAATTTAAAAATTAAAAAAAGCAAATAAATTAGTCTAGGATATAATTTACTGCTAATTATAATAATAAAAAAATTTAACTATACTCTGTTCCACGAGAGAGTGTACTCGTTTTTTCGTCCGTCGCTGCGCACCCCCCACCAATTTCGCCCGTTCGGTTACGATCGTCAACTGCTCGGCCCGGCGGTCGGCAACGACTCCTCTCATACGTAGCGTTTAGCATTTACAGCGATTGACACGACATCCACGTGATATCGCAACCACGCACTACGCTCTTCCTGTATGTACTCGTAATACGTGATACACGCATGTAATTTTACTCCGCCAAGCGCCGTTTTTTTAATTTACTGTTAATCATGCAATTTTCCGATGAAGAAGATGAACCAACCGCATCAGCTTTACCAACACCATCGCCCGTTAAAAAGAATAAAGCAGGAAAGGTAAGCGTCTTCTAATATTTAATTAGCTTTTATTAAATTGTGATAGTCACCTTAAAAAATAAAAATTTTAAACAGATTGATTTTTTAATTTAATGATTTTTTATTATTTATTTTTTAATTCTTTATAAATAACATTAAGGATTTATTAATTATTAGATATTACCTAATTAGTAATTACTAATTACTAATAAATTACATTATTTATAATATAATTTAAAAACAAATTATGTATTTTTTTATCTAGATAAATGTATGTGTATTTTTATCTTTATCTAGATAAAAAAAATGATATTATATTTTATCTTATCTAGATAAATTTTGAATTAATTATCTGTTATCTTATTCAGATGATTTTTTGGTTATATTTTCCCAACACTGCTCATAAGGGTATTTTTATTATTTTTTAGTTTTTCGGGACCTGCCAAAAGACCATCATCATTAATTTGTACAAAAAATATCATCTTCAACAACCAAAAATGAAATACATAGATATAATGATGTCGTTGTCAAATGATACAGGGATTGGTTTAACCACTGTAAAAAGAACAATTCGGGATTACAGACAAAAAGGTGTAGTTTGTTCACCTAACAAAAAAAAACAAAGATTAACAATCATCGAGAAAATTGAAGATTTTGATAAGAATGCTATTCGGCAAAAAATACATGGATTCTGGTACAGGCATGAAATACCTACGTTAAGTAAAGTGTTGGTTGCCATTAACGAAGATTCGAGTCTCCAACTTTATCTCGTACTGGTTTGTATCGGCTGTTGGGAGATTTAAATTTTGAATTCACTAAAAGACAGCGTAATAGTGCACTAACAGAGAGGGAAGATCTTATAAGGTGGCGCAGGAAATTCATTACAAATATAAGGCTCTATAGAAGTGAAGGTCGAACAATTTATTATCTCGATGAGACGTGGGTCAATGCAGGTGAGTGTGCAAATAAAGTGTGGGTCGACAAAACCGTAACATCGAGTCGTGATGCTTTTTTGAAAGGACTGACTACGGGACCCAAAAATCCAACAGGTAAAGGAAAACGATTGATTGTGGTACATATAGGTTCATCAAACGGTTTCGTCGAGGGTGGTCTACTCAGAGGCGGATCTAGGGGGGGAAGCCGGGGATTGATCCCCGGGCGTAAAATTTTAGTGGGCGTAATTTTTTTGTGGGTATTTATATTAATTTTTAGTTTTAGAAGTTAAGAAAATATTTTTATTTCACATAATAATGAAAAACAAAAATAAAATCATACATGGTGTAAAATAATTAATCGTCATTCTATTATTAGATCGCGAAGGCGTACGTCGACGGTCGACAGTACATATAGATTGTAGAGACAGACTAATCATACAAATTAAATATAAACGTATATTATCAATAATAAATATAAATATAATAATTAATATGAACGTTATTGTCGACGCACGGCGGTCGGCGACGACGCGGACAAAAATAGTACAAAATGAATTACTACAGACCACAGTGATAAATTCTGCCATTTGTCATTTGAAAGCGCGGCTTAGCGCACGGAATAACCAGACAGCCAGTTAGTAGGTATAGACAATTACATCATTTTAGTTAAAGGTAAGATTATGAATAGATTCGTATAAGTATTAAGTATAAGTAATAAACTAATAAAGTAATAACTAATAAGGATATACAATATACCAACCTACTATTATTATTAAGATTCTGAGTGAAAGTGTCAAACTAGGCATTTATTGATACTGTTTTTTCGTTAAAATGTCTGATACCTACACAATAACTTTTATAAGATTATCAATCAACGCACGATATAATATTATATCTGTTTATTAAAAATTAAGTTAATATTTTATAATATTATTATACATATATTATAATATTTACCATGATGGTTATACATTAATTGTTTATGTTTAAAAAAAAAGATTTTCTTTTTCTATTTTGATTATAAATTGTTTAAATTAATTACATTTTTTATTGGCCTAAAATCTAAATTTGTGTACCTTTATCAGAATAAACGATTTTATATTTCACCATAAAGATCTATTATAATATTGAGGCACACACAACCAAAACAGCAAGTGTTTTTATATAGGACAAGGTACCTATTCAAATTTTGATTATTTTTCAACATTTTTTTTTCTTATAAAATCACTCTAAGGAAAAAAATAAACTCACTTTTTATATATAATTTTTTGCCTTTTCTATAAAGCATTATAAAACGATTATATTTTGTAGTTTAAGTTTTTATTGGTGCTATGAGCATTAATTTATAAAGTATTGTAAATTGTAATACAGAATGTAACAATATGTCTACATATTACCTTAATTCGTAAATGTAATTAATTATTCAATATTTTATAATTTTAATTATATTACAGTACCTAGTCAATATAATATTAATTATAGTAATTCAACAATTTATAATTTTCAATGATACCAATATATTTTTCGAGCTTCACTCGGAACCTAAAACTGATTTTATTTAATTTTATACATTTAAGGACGAAAATGTCAAAGCGACCTCCAGGTTCGTTTTTTCGCGATAGAAAGAAGAAGATAGAAGCTGAAAAGATACAATTAGCAAAACAGTGGGAAAAAACGCAGAAAAACTATTTAAAGTGTGAAAATGTGGACAAGTCTGACGATTCTTTAGATGTTGATGTCAATGAAGTAAATATTGAACAACATGAAAATGAAAACTTGATTACAAAAGAACCATTAACAGTGACAAGTTGTAATAGCAATTTAAATAAAAAATGTACCGATGACGATTCTTTAGATGTTGATGTCAATGAAGTAAATATTGAACAACATGAAAATGAAAACACAATTATAAAAGAACCATAATCATTGACAAGTTGTAATAGCAACTTAAATGAAAAATTTACAAATGACGATTCTTTGGATGTTAAGATAAATGAAAAAAATATAACTACCAATGACTTAGAACTCATAACATTTAATATAAGTGAGAATTGTCATCAAGTTAATAATGAGAAGAGTTTTGAGGTATCTTTAGAAGCTCAAAATAAGTATGAACATTTTAAAGCCACACATTTTCCTGAAATTTTATTTGACAATCCTCGTTCTTGGTCTCCTATTAATTATAAACTGCGTTGTATACTTATTCTTCATGGACCAAATCGAGGGATGACAGCACCTAAACCATTCAAAAATCATTGGTTTTTTAAACAAATGAATAACGGTGAAAAGTGTGACAGAACGTGGATGATGTATTCTGAACCTAATGAGGCGATTTTTTGTTTTTGTTGTATTTTATTTGGAACCAAATCAAGTGCGTTAACAGATCCTAAACAAGGTTTTACAAATTGGAAAAAAATGGAACGTTTAAGGGAACATGAAAATTCTTCAGACCACGTTAAAAATTTCCTTGAATGGAAAATGTTTGAAAAAAAATTAAAAAATGGTGGAGCTATTGATGACTGCTTACAAAATCAAATAAAATCGCAAGAAGCTAAATGGAGACACATTTTAAAAGCAATATTGAATGCAATATTGTACTGTGCCAACAATAATTTAGGATTAAGGGGACATTCAGACGTACCTGGGAGTCCATCCGCAGGTCACTTTCTTAATTTGTTAAGTTTGATAAGTAAATATGATCTAATATTAAAGGAACACATTGAATCACATAAGAAAGGTTCTATAAATTACTTTTCTCATCAAATACAAGATGAGTTTATAGCTTTGTTGTCCAAAAAAGTTCGAAATGAAATTATACATCAAATTAAATCTGATAAATATTATACAATAATGTTTGATTGCACACCAGATGTATCTAGAACAGAGCAAATGAGTCAAGTTATAAGATATGTTCGTGTCACTGGTGGCCAAGTATTTGTAGAAGAAAGTTTCTTAGGCTTTATAGAATCCCATGAAAAAACTGGTAATGGTTTGACTACTGAAATATTAGATCAAATATCTCTAGATGGTTTGGATATTCAAAATTGTAGGGGCCAAGCATATGACAACGGATCAAATATGGCAGGGAAGTACAATGGGGTTCAAGCAAAAATTTCAGAAAAAAATCAATTTGCAACATTTATACCTTGTACAGCACATTGTTTGAATTTAGCAGGTGTAAATGCTGTAGGATCAAATAAACAAATGCAGCTATTGTTTGGTAAAATTCAACAACTTTTTAATTTTTTTTCTGGTTCTACCTTACGTTGGGAAGTATTGATGAAATCATTGAAAGTAACTCTTAAACCCTTTTCAGATACTAGATGGTCCTCTAAAGCGGCTGCGGTAAAGGCCCTTTATAAACAATTACCTGATGTGAAATGTGCTTTGATTAATATTATTGAAAATGGAAATCTCGAATCAAAACCAATTGCAAAAAATTTACTTAATTTAGTGGATCATGAATTTATTTGTCTATTAACGGTTTGGAATTCTATACTATCAAGTATTGATTGTGTAAATGTATTTCTTCAAAAAAAAAACAATTACAGTATGTCAAGCAGCAAAAATGATTCATGGATTAATAAAAGAAATAACTGACTTAAGAAATAATAGAATTCAAATATTATTCCAAGATGCTGAACAATTAAGTGTAAAAATGAGTATTTCCCCTTCATTTCCAGAAAAAAGGAAAAAAAGAGCAAAAAGAATGGATTTTGATGAATCTGCTGATGAATGGAACGTTTCTGCTAAAAATAATTGTATAATTAATTTGAAAAACGTCTGTGATGTTTTGCTTTCTCACCTCGGCTGGAGATTTGAAACATTGAATAATGTATCCTTAGATTTTAGTTTTCTTACTGGATCTGAACTATTTGAAAATGAAACGGACCAATTAGTCAAAGCAGCAGCGGATTTAGCCTTAAAATATAATAAAGACTTAAATGCTTCAGAACTAACCGAAGAAATTATACATTTTAAGCATCATGCCATGAGTGCATTACCCAGTATCAAAAATACAACACCATTACAACTATTAGAGTTTATTTTTGAGTATTCTATGGCTAATATTTTCCCAAATATTTGCATAGCGCTTCGGCTTTATTTAACATTGCCATGCACAACAGCCACGTGTGAACGGAGTTTCAGCAAACTGAAACTAATCAAAACTTATTTACGCTCCACAGTAAATCAAACTAAACTAACTAATCTTGCGTTATTATCTATAGAAAAAGAAAAATCAAACTCCATCGATTTCGATTCAGTTATAAACGACTTCGCTGAAGTAAAAGCCAGAAGAATAAAGCTTTAAATTTATTTAAGTGTGTACAGAAAGAGGCAGATTTGTAAATAAAAAATGTTTTAATAAAAAAGTTCTTTCATATTGAATTAAACAAGTTTATTATTAATAATTTTAATAGTTAGAAAAGATCTCTTACTAAGTAGTAGTGTAAAAATCAGAATAACTCTTATTTAGTTTAATTATTGTAACATAAGTATTAAGTAATAAGATTCTATGAGTATGAACTACCTTGATATTTTTAACTTTGTTAGTTAACATTATTATGTGTTTAAAAGTCAATAAGTATGTTTGTAATTTTAGTTCCATTTATTAGAAAACAATTGAAGGAAATGATATATTTTCAGTCTTGGTCTATGATTGGGCATTTGGGCGTAATTTTAATATTTTCCCCGGGCGTAAAAAATCTTAGATCCGCCTCTGGGTCTACTGTGTTTTTAATCAAAAAAAAATACAGCAGACTACCACGACGAAATGAACGGTGATTCCTTTTATGATTGGTTTTGTGGAATTTTACCTCTGTTGGACGATAATTCAATTATCGTAATGGATAATGCGTTTTACCACTCGGTCAAGCTGGATCCCGCACCAACAATGGCTTGGAAGAAAAATAAAATCATTCAGTGGTGGGAGGATAAGAATGTAGTAGTTGACACGAAAATGATTAAACTAGACTTAATCGATAAGGTAAAAGAGATTCGAGCTACTGAAAATAACGTTATTGATGAAAAAGCAAGGGAAACAAATAAAATTGTCCTGCGTTTGCCACCTTACAACTGTGAGTTGAACCCAATAGAATTGGCATGGTCTGTGGTAAAAAATCATGTGAAGCAGAATAATACTACGTTCAAATTAAATGATGTACGGCAATTGCTGATCGATGGTGTTCAACGAGTTACTCCGGAAATGTTGGCCAATTTTGTAAAACACACAATTAAAGAAGAGGATAAGATGTGGGGTATTGAGACCATTACCGATGAAATGCTTGATGAACTAATTCCAACATCTCAACATGTTCTAACGATCACAGGAGAAACGAGTACCGATTCCTCAGATTGAAATTAAAATCAATATCATTCATAATAATTGTTACTTATATTTTATTGCATTTATTTATTTAAAATACACATGTAAATTCTTTTATGATAGTATTTGTTCATCATTAATTTATATTAAAAAAAATACCTGTATCACTATAAAAAAAAATTATTATACTTTTTGCGTAATGATAAACACTACAGCACACTGTATATGCGATGCGATTAATATTATCGGTGTGTATAACCGATGTTGCGCGCCGCTAGACGGTAAAGAGTGGGAGAAATTGGGGTTCCGCGCTGTGGGCGGCGTCAGTCGGCTGCGCGAAACAAGTACACTCTCTCGTGGAACAGAGTATATCTAGAGAATTTTCTTTTTTTCTTCGACAGAAAATGATATAGATATGAAGACTATACCCTTGCTAACTGAAACCATGATGATGGAATTAATTCCAAGTGTTGGACATCGAGCTCAATTAAAATAAAATATTGACCAATGGAAAAATATTAACCAGCAGATACCTTCACCCTCAGTAATTTTATATTATAATTTATATTAATGCATAAGTATATAAATCAATTGTAATTTTAAAATACCTTATTCGTTAAAGTTAATTGGTTACCAGGTATTAAGTTAGGTTAGTACATTGTACCTATGCTGTCTATTTTACAAATCCCTTTTTCACTAAAATTGTTGAAAATTTTTAATATTTTATGCAAGTAATTATTTGTTTTTATTTCAGCCTGCATCTTGTAGTAGTATTGACACAGATTTACAGATAACCAATTTAATACAAAATAATGTATGGGTAAGTCATATTTTTGTTATTATAAGTACCTAGATTTAACTCTATCCTTATAATAGGTCATATTATATTTAAATTATTTAATTGTTCTAATATTTCAGTGGATCCTTTTATTTCTATTTCATAACTTAATTTTATTGTAATAAATTTTATATAACTAATTAACTAGCTTTATTATAATTAAATGTATGTACTTAATTATCATAAGTACATATTAATATTCAATAAAATGTTGCATTAGAATAATTTGTTTTAAATTTCAGTCTGAATCTTCCAGTAGTAATGTAGACAAATTACCTGCGGATATAATACAAAATAATATATGGGTAAGTCATATTTTTATTTTATTATATTATATAAGTTTTTGTGTACGCGTCTGTATTCATTTACAATGACATTTTTTTATGTGAATAATTTGTTTTTAAATTTCAGGCTGAAGCTTCCAGTAGTGGCAGTAGTAGTGCAGAGAAATCACCAGCAGAAATAACACAAAATAATGTATCAGTAAGCTATTATTTGTATTATATTTAGCACTTACTTGATTCTTTATAAATATGTTATCGTCTTTAAATAATTCATTTATTCTAATACTTCATTGGATTCTTTTTTTATATTTCAAAACTTAATTTTATTATAATTCAATATCAGTACAAATACTATTAAGGTCTTTAACGTCTTCATTTATTTCCAATGAAATATTTTTGTGGCAATATGTAGGGATCATATACCTACATTAAATGTAAGATTATGAACAAAATTAGTATATGATTAAATGATTTAGGTAATTTATACAAATATTTTCATCTTGACTTAGATCAGAACTCATACAAACAGTACTACTATTATAAGTCTTGATATAAGAATAAAATTGTTATTTAGTTTTATAAGCATTATGCTTGACAATTTTATATTATTTTTTAAATATCAATTTTTTTTATTCTTTAGAAAGTATTATGGAAATTAATTTAAATAGTAGATTATTTTATTCTTGCAGGAAATATTGGAACTTCTAAAAACTACAAATGAAGGGAAATCGTTATTGTCAACATTTCATCAAAGTGGTTTATTAGATAGGTAGTGTAGGTCGTAGGCGTTTGTGTCATTTAATAATAAATAGAGAACTCAGAGATGATGTCCAAAGACGTATTCCATCGTCACGTTTACATAACTTTGCGTACCAAATCACAAAAGTTTTTCAAAATGAACGAGCATCAACTTATTTTATTCCATACATTTCTTACGGACCGGGCTTAAAAAGAGCAGCCAAAGCTTCTCGATTGTTTGAATAATAGAAGAAGGGAATACAGAAAAGCTGGTTTGATAAATTCATCGAGACGAAGTTCAACATCTTCTGAATCATCTTTTGAATCATCTTTTCCATGCTTGAAAAAACCTGCAGGATATCTTCTTGTGAGTGCATGTCATATTATTAATAATTTGTAATTTGTATCTAATTGCTCAATCAATTTTTTAAATTTTTTTATTTATCCTTCAGATTTTGAAAGCCTTTAACGTCGCTTATCCAAAATCAGTTGACAAACTTTATCAGAACCTACCAATATACAGAAAGAAAATTATCGATCAATTATTGACTATAACTAAGAAAACTAAAGATTCCACTGTACATCAAATTTTAAATGAATACTTACAGTACGTTAGTTAAAATATATTTTGTTTAACAATTACTAAATAAATATTTTTATGAATCGAACAATGTCTAAAAAAATAACAGCCCTTGACCCAGATAGCAAAATTATGTTATAATAATATTCTAGCAATGTGAAATATAAAATAACAATATTCTACATTAGGTTCCTTCAATCTTTTTAAATATTCTTGTAATATTATCATAATCTTAGTCTTATAACATTATCATCATGTTATTAAAACAATACTCTTATAATATTATTCACTTAACATTCTGTTAATGATATTTTATATTCCAGTAATACTGTTGTTATACAAATTAAAGGGAAACAAATGTGATGATTAGGGTAGTTAAGTTACTGTTTTTAAAACCATACTAAATTGATTGCATTATTGCATTGAAACATTGAAATTTAAAAAATTTAATAAAATGTTCGTAGGTAATAGGAATTAAAGTGAAGAAATAAAATAATATACTGCATAACAACTATTAATTAATATTAGATAATGTTAACTAGGGAAATGTAATAACATATTAACAACAGTAAGAATTGTGTTATTACAATAATATAAACTATAAATTATATTATGCATGAGCATGAATCACTAACCTATAATACAATAAAACAACAATAGATAAATATCAAGAAAATTACAATATAATAATTTTTATTAACCTCAAAACTATCTTATTTATGGCTATATAGTTTAAGACACCAACCGATGCAGAACAGCATAAGCAATACAAACAGGATAGGTGCTACTGATAATTTAGGCCAGCTTAGAATTATAATAATATGATGAATATAAATTAATAACAAAAATAATAATAATCAGCTTAAAGAAAAAAAAACTAAACATCTTCTTAATGTTCAAACAATTTTATAAAATAATATTGGTGGTCATAATGATCATTTCAATTTTTTCAACAATCTGAACGGTGCATGTGCTAACCAAACGCCCAGTGGTAGTTCAATTTCTCGATCCGTAGCCATTTTATACTTGACGTGCATTCTTAGGGAATCTAGTATAATAAGAATGTTTTAAATTAAAACAACATTATGTCAAATTGACAAATACATCATTATTTTAATAGTGATTAATATGATTAAAATATTACCTATAACAACACGATATAGCATCAACTTAGTGAACGGTTTTTTTTTTTTTTTAAACCCAATGAGTGAATAATTTACTAAAACTTCATCATCAAACATTTTGGCAACTATTCTTAAGGCTGTGACCCAAATCCGAAGCAACTGCGAGCAAAGATAGTTTTGAAACCTAAATATAATATAATAAAATAGGTACATGATTACATTTTTTTTTTTTTAATTTAACAAATCTTATAAACACACTCATAAAAAATATCTGTAATTTAAAATTAAGTTACGAGCATAATTTAATTTTAATTAAAACTATATATTTTATACAAATTGGTCATTTAATTAACAATATATAAATAATATATTAGGAAAAACTAATAATATTTGAATTTTACCAAAATGTTCCGGAATTGAGTATCTTGGATAATTTTAGATTCGATACTTGTTAGCTGCTCATCAGTGTTTATTGGAAATATAGAATGTAAATCTACATCCTGATGATTATCACGTGATAACGCACATTTTGCTACAGATTTATCCGTCAAACTATCCATCAGAGACTCTATATTTGTATGCATGACATTAATAACACTCATCATTTTATTAATATCGTATTTCATATGAGTGACTGTTGTGAAAATATATTTTTCATAATCTGTTAAAAATAATTAATAATTAATTGCTAATTAGTAATTTAGTATAATAATAATATTTGATAAGTAATTAATTATTACCTGGATTATCTGACTTAATAGACTCAAAGTTAAAATTATTTTGTGTAGATGTATTTGATTCGTTTTGGAATATTTCTAAAAATATATGATGTATAATATACCAATTTAAAATAAATAAAAATGTAGGTTAATTATTGTAACTAACATGATTTTTATTAACAAATACATAGTACTTATTCGTTAAGGCGATTGGGTACCGGTCAATTTTTCAGTTAAAAACTACCTATTTAACTTCAATTGTTCTGATCGTTGTATTGAAGCGACAAGACTTCTGAAAATTTATATGAATTCGGCATAAAGTCTACTTGAGATCGGTCGGATTACATTTTTTAATGTTGCCCTCAAAATTCCACAAATTTGATTTCAGTTTTTTGAAAAATATTAAATTTTATAGTAGTGTTTAAAAAACATTTTTAAGTTTAACTGAAAAAGTGGTCCGACCGATCTCAAGTAAACTTCATGCTGAATTCAAATACATCTTCATAATTTTTATCGCACCAATACAACGATCGGACTGATTGAAGTAAAACGAGTAGTTTTTGAAGGAACAATTTTACGAATCCTAAACAGTAGCCGTGCGTAACAGACTTGTGCGTGTGCGTACGAGAGTCGGCCCGGCTGGTTTTTCTAAGAATAAGTTGTGCGCTCTACGATAATGCGATATCCGGTTTTATACACAAATAGGTACATTATTATTATAACCGATATAAACAATAATATTATTGTGAA